GGATTTGATTAGTTACGGTCACATGTCAACTTCGACGTCTGTGAGTGTGTCTGTCTCTGTTCAAACTAGAAGGTTTGCTGATTATGGTACGCGTGTTGTTAAAAAAAACAAGAGGCTATTGAAATAAACAGATTAGTAAATACTATGAATTTGGTGAAAGTTGGTAGAAAGTTGGTAGAAAGTTGAGTAGGAAGTACTCATGCCTGACCTCTTTGATCAAGTATAAAGTGATTTGGTTAGTTACGGTCATATGTCAACTTCGATGTCTGTGAGTGTGTCTGTCTCTATATTTGTATGTGCCTGTTTGTGTTCGCTTATGCACGAAACCCGAAGTGATTGCTCAAAGTAATTAGGACTCGTTAGTTTGAATTTTGTTGTGATGATGATACCATTCTTGCTCTGATGATGTTCGTCATGTGGCGGACGAAAGCTTTGCACCTTTTCACCGGAATCGAAGCAATTAACCTCGGAAACAGCGTCGGCCTGAATGTTCCAGTAAAGCCAATCGACAGCTGGTCAAGAGGAATCCGACGTCGTCTTCTGGTGGAACCGAGCTTCCATTAATCCCAGCATCAAACCGTGGACTTGGTACATTCTTAGACGTTTGGCCGGTTTGACTTCACCCGCCTCTTTGACGAATTTGTAAGTTTGTGCGCAGAATGGCAGCACTCGCTGATGATGCCGACTACGACGCTGGCGAAACGTTTGAGAATGTACCAAGTCCACTGTCTGATGCTGGCTATCATGGCAACTACTATGGCAGACGACTTTGAATAAAGTCGCCCTGACAACAAGACCAATTCGAGCAAAACGAAGCCATCCCACCTCTTCAGGTTGACTAAGTTGGTATTCAAGGATTACTGATAGCCTCGTACGTTAATCTCATCGAGCATTGAAGAGAATGCAACTGGACAAATGTCGGAACCAGATGGAAATATGCTACGCTTTGCTTGCGAGTTGTGAGGACAAAGAAGAGGTCTGCTGTTCAAGTGGGAAGCGGGTTTCGTCGAGTCTCGTGCACTTACGCGAGTTCCCCTTTGAACTGCGAGGGCGGAGACTGGAGCCAGTCCGAGTGCGGGTCCACGAGGCAGCTGACTCGAGCGTTGGGCACCGGGAGACAGCCGGGCTGAAGCTGAAAGGGAGAAGAAGGCCGCACGTCATTGTGTTCAGGTGGGATAAGTCGCTTTCGATGCTGACCAATGAGTGAATAGAGGCTCTATCGCAATTCCACACACTTACGACCGGTCTTTCCGACTTCAACTTACGCGAGTGTACGCACACTAATACACACACACACACACACAGACAAGCATATAACTATTGGGATAAACAAAAATAACCAACAACATCTTTCTACATGCATCAATTCACATGTCTGCATCTGTTTGCTTTTAATTTGCAAGCCACATAATGTACAAATCAGAGCCAGTTAGTCTTCTTGACTTGAAAGTGACTTGACGCTTTTGCAAGAAAGAATAACAAGTCTTTGTTTCGTATGAGAGTAGGGTCTCGAGACTACCAGTAAATCAGTAGTATGACATGTATTCACCCTATTTCGTCTAAGCTGATGAAGGACAGGACAGAAGAAGACTCGGCTCATCTTCATTCGAACCGGAGAAGGATGTCTCGAACGCAGGCGTAAAAGCAAACGACGGCACAAAACAAAACTCAACCGTTGCAGAAGTGGGTTGACCTCGTTGTCGCAACTTGGTCTTGTTGTCAAGGCGACTTAGTGGAACGCACCTAGTCCGAAGTCGTCTGCAGAGTAGTTGTCATCATTCTCAGCATCA